CCATGCTGTCTTGATGATGACAGCTTTGTAGTAGAGGCTAAAGTCTGGGATTGTGATGCCTCCTGCTTTGGTCTTCTTCTTCAAAATTACCTTGGCTATTCGGGGCCTTTTGTGGTTCCATATGAATTTTAGAATTGCTTGTTCTAGTTTCGAGAAGAATGCTGGTGCAATTTTGAGTGGGATTGCATTGAATGTGTAGATAGCTTTAGGTAGTATTGACATTTTGACAATATTTATTCTTCCAATCCATGAGCAGGGAATGTCTTTCCATTTCTTTATATCTTCTTCAATTTCAAGAGGTAACTTTTTAAATGTACTTTACTTTCTCAGTCATAAGAGAGAATGATAGTAAATTAATTAGCATCATTATCCTCAGCGTATGTTTTAGAATTTTGATCTGATAGACATGGCTGTGTTACTACTGAAGTAGTGAAAAAATCATCATTTTGCTAAGACAGTCCCTTGTCATGTTAAAAAAAGGTAAGCAATAATAAAATCAATTCTTTAGTCACTAAAAATTGTGGAAATTAGGAATCACTCGGAGCAACAACGTTAACAGAGGGTAAATATTGCCAGTACATTCTAACATATCCATACAGAACTCCTTACAACAAATTATATTCCAACCAAAGTCTCGCTTTTTTTCTTTTTCTTTCTTTTCTTTTTTTTTTTTTTTTTTTTTTGGAAAATAACTGTATTTTCCAAATAAAGTTTCCAATATTGAGGGTGTGCACAGATGTCTCAGAACTTCTGGAATCGCTTCTTGCTGCCAGCAGCCTTCGCGACTTTGAGCACATTGAAGCACGGTCTTGCTCGAGGGCCAGCGCTGGCCCACTGTGACCGTGTTGCCCATCTGGATCCCCGAAGCAGGGGGACAGGTGCACGGGCGTGTTCTTGTGGCGTTTCTCGAAGCGCTCGTCCTTTCCCCTGCAGTGGAGGAGGTCTCGGTGGATGACAGTGGTCTTCGGCGTCTTCGTCCCGGCCACCACGCCAGGCAGAATCCACCCTCAGATGGAGACATCAGCACTCAAGGGGCATTTCTTGTCAATACAGGGGCCCTCAGTGGCCTCCTTGGGCATCTTGAAACCCAGACCAATGTTTTTATAGTTTCGTGGGAGCTTCTCCTCGCCAGTGTCTCCCATCAAGACCCCCTTCTTCTCTTGAAAGATGGTTGGCTGCTTCGGGTGGGCACACTCAGCCTGAGGGTCCACCGTCTTCCCAACTGCCCGAAGAAAGGCAACCGAAATCTTTAATTAAGATATTTCCAAGGTGACATGGAAGGTTAATGGAATGTTATTTTAAACATTCCATGTAACTATTGTATCAAAAGATTTAGGCTATTGTGGTAGATTCTGAAGTAAAATTCAGGCTGGTGGAGGGGAGCGTTTATTCCTCTTGTGGAAATATTGTATCCCTGCACCACCCAATAAGGAATTTAAAATCACATCTTGGAATCCTTTTTTTCTTCAAAGTTCTTTGAGCTCTCTGCCACTGGGCTTTTCCCACCAGTCTGTCCGGCCCATGTTGTGTCTCACTTTAGTGGGCCTCTCTCCTCTCTTTCCACCTCACCTCACTCCCTTTCCTCCTAGATTGTACCTTGAAACTCCATATTCTTTTCACCCTGCTAGTCAAATAACTAAGCTTTCTTCCGAATTCAGTGCGAAGTCTACATTTGCAAACCTGAAACTAAGTTAAAGAGCCATTCTGAGATTATCATCTTTCCTTTAATGGGATCATTCTGTGCCTTAGAAGAAATCTGTGGTTTTGTACAGTTTTTAATTTCCATCCCTTACGCACAAGTAAGGTAGAGCAGCCAAACTGTAGTGAGAGATTGCGTGTAGCCTCTGGTGTTAGGCCTCTGTTGGAACCCTGACTAGCGTTATTAGTCATGTGAATTCCTGTCGTCCGGGGTTATGAGGATTTAATGGACAGGATGTTTCATACACTAGGCTTTCAAGAAATGGTAACTAAAGTTATTTTTAACAGGGCACCTGGTCGGCTCAGTCAGTTGAGCATCCAGCTTCAACCCTGGTCACGATCTCGCTGTTTCTGGGTTTGAGCCCCAAGTCAGGCTCTGTGCTGACAGTTCAGAGCCTGG